GGGGTGGGGCGGGGCGGTCTGTGCCCTGTGTTCTGGGGATAGGAAACACCCGCGAGCACGCGCTGCAAGGGCGTACCGTACCGCACCGTGTTCTGCACTCCGCGCGACCTGGGCACCCCTTCCTCTCCCCCTCACCCCTGTGCGTACCGGGCGACGAGGCCCAGCAACAGCACAGCAAGCAGCACCCGTAGGACCGCAGCGTGGAACGGCCACCCCGGCCAAGCGTCGAGGTCCCGCAGGGCCCCACCACCGGCCCGCGCCCACACCACGGCCGGCAGCCACGGAGGCCAGACAACGATCAACGACGACTTAGCGGGGTGTCCCGCTTGTTTTTATCGGGTTATCTCTCCTCTTTCCCGACGTAAAACGCCCCCTTCTTCCCTCTTCGCCCTCTCGTTCTCACTCTCTCCCTCCGCCTCTCTATTCCTCGCTCCTGCTTCTCAGAATATAAATGGAGTCGAAATCCCTTTAGCGCCCGGGGCGCGATGTGCCCCGAGGTGGGTGGGTGCAGCACCTCCATCATCTATCAGACACTGCCTCTCCCCTCTCCCCCCTCCCCCGGCCCGTGCCGAGTGCGCGAGTGAGTTGTCATTCCATATGATGCCCCTTCACCTAGTCTTCGCCCTCTCCCCTCCCCTCCCCTCTCACTTCCTCTCCCCACAAACAGATGCTGTAAATCAGCCATCAAGTTTTGCACGCGCAACAAGTTTCAATGTCGCGCTTTACCCCAATTATTTATTCAAGTGCCCGATAACTAATGAAGGCTAGACGTTCTCTCTCTCACTCCTTCCCACGGCCCGCCAGGGTGGACGGCTGACGGGGGCGCCTCTCGGCTATGGTCAGGTCATATCGAACTGGAGTGACTGACAGACGAGCCGCGGCGGGAGGGAGAGGAGGCTCGGCCTCGTTATCACGTCCACCGAAACGATCCATCTCTCCCCGTACAAATATACACACGCCGCAGCAGCGGACGCTTTGCCGTGTAAGTACGCCGAGCGTATGGCGTGGCGTGGCCGGCCGTGTATCCGTGCCACACCGTCATCTCCCTGCGTCTCCTTCTTTTGTCTTTTCGCTGCCACCAACACATGTCCCGCAGCCCCGGCGGGCGACGGGGGGCGTCCCGCAGGCAGGCGAGCAGGCCCCACAAACGGGCCTTTGGATGGCATGAGGGGGGGCCGTGCGTAAGCTGCAGCGCGGGGGGCAGGGGGGCGTTTTACCGGGAAGGACGTCTCCACAGGGGGGGAGGAGGGGGCGAACAAGAACAAGGCCGGTTATGACAAAAAAAAAATTGTCGTCCGGTTGGTGGTGCGGGCGCAAGGCTTGCTTATAAAGTGCTCTCTTTCCCTCCGACTCTCCCCCTCTCTCTCTCCCAGACACGAACCTGATAACAACTCGCAGTGTCAGATGGCGCCTGGACGGGGGCTTCACGACAGCAATGCAGGACGAACGCCCCCCCCCCCCTCCTTCTCCTTCCCCCTTCACCGTTCCCCGCATTTTATCGCCTCTCCTTTTCCTTTCATCCACACACCGCACTTGGAACCTGGACCCCCTCCCCCCTTCTGTTCTGAAGCCGGCTTATAAACAGTCAAATACAGGCGGCCGTGTGTGTGTGTGTGTGTGCATCGCCGAAAAACAAAAAGGAAGAGTAATCGCCACACACGCGGAACCGCAACAAGAGCAACTAAACGGCAAAGGAAAACATTGGACCACGTGCATCTGAGTACAATAAGTAAGTCACTTCCGTGCACATGAGCTGCAGAAAGTCGACGCGCGATCTAGTCTAGTTCTCAAGAAAGGCGAACTTAAATTGTGTCTTCGTTGAGCTGACGACGTTTTTCCTAGCATTCAGTGAGCTGCACCAGTCGCCTGAATAACCACGCGCACTTTTGTAGTTATGCTGTACCGCGTTCACGAGTGTGGGCGGGTTGCCTACTCGCTCGGCCCGTGAGCGCGCGCCGTGGCCAGCGACGGTAGGCAAACCCGCCCGCACTCCTGCATGCGGTACAGTATGGCTACAAAAATGGGTAGGCGCTAAATCTGAGAGTCGGAGTCAATTTTTTGGACGGTTGGGGGGAATTCCCTCCACTACGCTAACTATTACTGCCCTTGGGGCGTATACTCATTGTGCCTTGTACCCAGCTCGCTGCGTCCCCCCCCAGAGACCTGCTCTGTGTACTTGACCGCCTTCCGCCACCACCCTGTATGCTCTGGCCGGCGCGGCGGGTCCCGGCCACCCCCTGCTGCCACACACATACACACACACACACTCACACACGCTCGGCGCGGTGCCCTTGCCCGATCCTTGGCCGAGGCCAGGGGCCGGGCGGGCAACACGAGGCCGGGCTGGCAGCGGCGCAGCAGCAGCAGCAGCAGCAGCAGCACCTCCTCCCTCCTCAGTGAGCGCCGAGCAGCCGAGCCGTCAGGACAGAGGCACGGGGTACGGGCAGCCGCGCGGCGACACCAGAGCATGCCGATGCCGTCCTGAGGAGGTGGTCTGGTCGGGGTTACAAAGGTGTGACGCGAGGTCCTTGCCGGGTCATCGTCGCACCGCTCGCCGTCGCGCTTGTGTGTGTGTGTGTGTTTGTTTGTGTGTGAGAGAGCGAGTCAGGAGAGCGAACGAGTGTAAAAGTTTCATTCCTATTTTCTTTCATTCATTCATTCATTCATTCGCACTGTTTATCCTTGGAATGTCTGCTTATCGATGCAAAGTGCATTGTTAATTAGTGTGTGTGTGTGTGTGTGTGTGCGAGTGAGTGAGTGTGTGTAGTCAGGGGTTGGGAGTAGTAGAACGAGTAATCAAGTGAATGATTCAAAGTTATCAGTGCATGTCATTCAAACCTTAATGGAAATTGAATGAATGGTCAGTAAATGGCCAACAGTAGGCCAGTGCAGTGCAGGAATGCGAGAGCGTGTCTGAGTGTGAGTGTGCCGTGCGTGAGTGTGCATTGTTAGAGTGGGTACGCGTGTCGCGCCAATCGGTCATGGACGAAAATCGCGCAACGACGCGTTTGTGCGATAAGCTCCGCCGTGAGAGAGCGAGAGCGATTCAAGTGCGTGTGTGTGTGTGTGTGTGTGAGTGCGTGTGCGTTTGTGCGTTTGTGAAAGAGTGAGAGAGACAGACGTCGGCGGGCGAGCGACGACAACCTGGTCAACACGGCGACCACGCCGAAGGTGGTGCGCGGCGCACAACAAGGACCTCTAAACTCATTGCGTCGTCCGTCCTCCCCAGCAGGACCTCCCTCCCACCCTTTCTCCGGCGCAGCGGACCGCCGCCGCCTCCAGCATGGTGACACTCATGCCCTTCTACATGCCGGGCCGGCCCGCGGCGCGCCGCCCCCTCCCGCCCCCCTTCCTGGAGCAGCCCCTGCACGCGGTGAGTGTAGTTTAGTACGTAGCGTCTTCGAGGATCACCAGCATAGCGCCGCGCCGCCCCCAAAGCGGAAGCCGGTCACCAGACACGGGAGGCGCCTGCATCCTGCAGCTACTCCATCCACCTCTAGCCAGCCATCAGCCCAACTTATCCAAGGCCAGGCTCTCGCGCTCTGTCTACAATTGGCTCGGTAATGTGTGTGAGAGAGAGACGCGACACGGTTGTGCCGTGCTGTGTGCCGAGCCTCCCTCGCCGCCCGCCGCTGCCGGGCAGGAGGGCCTCGTTGTTGTTCCCACGGCAGGGAGCTGCTCATCACCTTTGAGGTGCATTGGGGCTGAAAGCGGGCAGCACGGCGGCGGCGGCGGTCGGCCTGCCCGGGTCCTGGTGCACCCCGCCGCACCCCGCCGCGCCCCCGGTGCACTCCCACGCAGGCATTGTGCCTGGCGCCGCGTTTGGTCCGACCCCTCCTGATGCCTGACGGCCGGGGTTGGGCGGCCGGTGCTGTGATGTGATCCCCGACGTCTCTCTCGCTGGCCGGCTGCCCCCTGCAGCGCGGCGCGGTCCGGTGCCGAGGGGTGGGGACGGGTGGGGAGGGGTGGGTTCAGTTTCCCTCCCCCTGAGCTGCGCTGCGCCCCGCCGGCCGCCCCGTCGCGCACGGCCCATTACCTCGCGACGCACCTTCCGAACGGCATAAGAACCAGGAGGCGACAAGAAGAAGCTCCGGCGGGGCGCCGCATAGTTTTGACAGGAGTAATTTGAGCGACACATGTGTTTGCAACGCGGCCGTTCCGCCCTAAGCCGCCCTAAACTTTTTCCCGTAATTTTTTTCCAGCCTTTTTTTTTCTCTTTGGTCGTAAAGCCTTGACAGCAAGTTTGTTGTATTTCTTTTTTTCATCTCAGCCAAACTAACCGCACACCTCCGTCGTCTAGGGGCGAGGTGCGCGAGGAATGCCCTGCCGAGCTTGTTTTCTTTATAAATGGGGGCCGTTGCACCCCTCTGCGCCGCCTCTGCTGCCAGCCACCCTCCGCTCCGTCGAGCACCCTCTAACAACCCTGCACGCCCTGCACGTGTGCGCGCCTCCCGCACCCTTTGACCCGGTCCACGTGTCCCTGTGCGCGCCCCTCACCGAGGCGCCACTAATGTTCACTTCACTAACGAGTGCTCTTTCTCTTGTTCCCCGACGCTGACGCACCCCCTCTGACTCTCTCTATCTCTCTGCCCGCAGGTGAAGCGGCCCCTCTCCGACCCGGACGCGGATCAGTCAGCGAGGAGCAGGTGAGTTTGATGCATCCCCTCTTGCTAAAGCATAGCAACCAGGACGTCATAACGTAACCCGTAACGGAAACGCACGAAATGGAAATTAAAATTGCAACTTTGAAAGTGCGTTATTGAAGCGTTTTCTGCTTTATGACAGCGTTTCAGGAAAACACACTGGAAATTTTCCAAAAACGCTTCGGAAACGAATTTAAATTACTAGTGTATTTTCCGGTTTTACCCGTTTTCTTACGAGTTTCATTACGTTACGACGCCCTATAGCAGCAACGTCATAATCAGGTGGCTCACTCCTAGTTATGTTGTACCGCACGCACGAGTGCGGCAGAATTGCCTACTGCTCGGCCCGTAAGGCGCCGTGTACATGGGCGATAGGCAAGCCCGCCCGCACTCTCGTGCGTGCCGTTCAGCATAACTACAGAAGTGCGCGGGGTTAATCTGTCACCTGGTTCAGTCAGGTACAAGATAAGTCTATACGCGGTTAGGTACTAGAAGTTGTCTTTGTCGCTTGTCCCCCTTCCTGGCCTTGCAACACCCATACTCGCCGCCGCCGGCCGCCGGGCCACCGAGGGGGCCACACAGGCGCGTGGGACAGACCGCCACCGGCCGGGGCGGAACGCAAAATTCCGAAGAAGTAGTAGTGAGGTTCGGCACGGCGGTATTTGGTGTTCCAGCCGCACAGCGCACAGGGCGGTAGCGGTGGGGTCCGCCTCCTGTGTGGCCCAGCCCCGGCCCGGGCCCGGCTGCGGGCGGCTGGGGCACAAAGACCAAACACGCTGACCAGAAAGGGGTAGGAGGGCGGCCTCGAGCCTCACACACGGACACGCACGCCGCCCCGAATGCTCGCAAGATATGACGAGAGGCGGCGCCCCACTCGGGCGGCGTCCTTCTCCCTCACACTCGCTATCATCTCTCTCTCACTCGGCTCCTTCCTTGTTGACTCGGCTGCTGGAGGTCCCGCGCCCCAGCCTCAACAAGACCGCCCGGGCCGCCGCCCCTGCCCTTATTCTCTGTACACTGCCCCCCCCCCTTTTCCCCTTAGTACTGTCATCGTGCCCTCTTATCACGTGATTGCTCGTTGATCATAAGGGTCATACTCTAGACGCACCCCACTCACTCGAACGGCCACGACAACAAATGAGGCATTTTATTGGCATAAAGAAGATCAGGAAGGAGCAAGAAGAACATGCCAGAACATCACAGGCCTTCAGCCGTTTTTCTGGAATCGTCTTCTAAGACATTTAAACATTTCCGAAAATCGGTTAGGCTTTTGAGGCATGTTGTTCCTGATCGTTTTAGACAATCCCCAAGACTCTCTCTATTTTTTATACCAATAAAATGCCTCATTCTGAACGCCTCACGCATGAGGGTGAGCTGCCGGCTACTTCTTCAGGGCTGAGCAGCACTGCTGACGCTGAAACTGCAAACAGCTCTTTGCACTGCCCCGCCCGCCCCGCCCACCCCCACCTCTCGGAACTGGCGGTGCCCAGCTGGGAGGGCCAGGCCTGACAGCGTGCCTGACGGACAGCCTTGGGGGCGGGAGGTGGCCTCCTCCCTGGTCCTACCCCCGCCGACCGGAAGTGGCTCCGGGGCCGAGGTCGATGCTCTCGAGGGAACGCTCATCGTGTTTGGAGAGACAACCAGATGCATGTGGCACGGGACCACGCCCCTTTGGAACGGTCAAGCTAAAATGGGCCCATTGATATGCACGGAACAGATGACTTTCTGTACAAAAGAGCTCGAGTTGATCCCATCTCCCTCTCTCTCTCTTTCAACCAGGTGTTTGGACGCTTCGTCGCCGGAGAGCGGAGGCGATTCCTCGTGCGGCTCGCCACCGGGAAACAGTCAGCGGCCACCGCGAGCCCCGGGTGAGTTCAGAGGCGCAGGTCGCAGCTGCAAGTATATAGCGTACTGGGTGATTCAGATAAGACGCTGGTGTGCGCGGCTTTGCCTACCCAAAGGGCTATGGCGCCTTACGGGCAGAGCGGGTAGGCACACCCGCTCGCACCTGTGTCTTCTATGAATCTCCCGGTACATTCGCCTAACGGAGGAAGAAGAGGAACAGTAGAACATAGAGGTTCCCGAGTGGTCGAGAGCTTCCCGCGAGTAGTGGGGGTGAGAGTTCGACCAGTAAGAAACACTTCAGTTCTTCCTCCGTAAGCCGAAATACACTTATTGCAATAACTTAGAATCAGCGCGTAGCACTGAGTGAAAATATTCACTAACTCTGCAACTTTTCATTAAATTTATCCAGGTCTTCAGAACGGCACGGCGGGCGCCTTGGCACTGCACTCGCAGCACGGCGGCGGCGGCAGTAGCGGCGGCGGCGGAGGCGGCGGAGGCGGCAGGGGCGGCGGGGCGCTGGCCACTGCCGCGGTGGCGGCCACTGACTCGTGGCCCCACGCGGCCCACGGCCACCCCGCGCACCTCGGCGGCGGGGCCCACAGCCACGGCGTCCCCCACGGCGCCCCCCACGGGGTCTCCCACGCCCCCGTCGGGCCGCACAGCGGGCCCCACGGCGCAGCCAGCGCCAGCCCCACCGCGGACGCCGGTAAGAACCGCACCCCCGCTAATCAATGCGCTACATTGAGCATCTCGAGTTTTATTCGTGTTTCTCGTTCTTGAGCGACCTCTCACAAAACTAAAGCGTTTTTCTTTCACTTCCGCTTCGCCCTCTTTGTTTCTCTTCTCGTTTCGGGCATGTCGCATGCACTAACCCCGCACTAATCCGTGACGCAGGTGTGAAGAGCGAGCTGCACAGCCCCGGCGGGCCCGGGGGCGGGTCTGGGGCGGGCGGGGGCAGCGGGGACTCGTCGGGGTCGTCCGCCGTCGAGCACCCGTCCTCCTCGGCCCCCCTGGCTGACCAGGGGCCCCTGTATGTTTCAGCCGACTCCGAGTATTCGCAAGCGGCCGCCTACTCGTCCCAATATTACTCCAGGTGAGAGCTGCGCCGCCGTGTGGGCAGACAACCCTTCCTACACGGCGTGCTGGCGGGCTGCGAGCCACGCAGCCGGCCGTTTTAATTTCCATGTGTCTTTTATTTATTATTCGCTGAAAATGAGCTGAACTCATTCGCATTTTTACGTCGCAGTATGCAGCAAGCCTACGGCAGCCAGACGCAGTCTTACATCAACTCTGGCTTCTACAACTCGCAAGCCTACCCGGGTTACAACCTGCCAGGTAAGCTCGTGGTTTCACTTTGGCACGACCCCCGCTTTCGCCCACCACATCACGACCCTTAGTGCGACCGCACCTGCCACCCCGGCTCGTAGTCTAACCGCCCCGCCTCCGCATGCACGCTGCTCTCTTTTCCAGGGCTGTACAGTAAACCCCCGACAAACGTGTCTGGCTCTGCCGCAGCCACCAACGGCTCGGGCAGCGGCTACCTCAACTACGCCACCGGGTCGGGGGCGTCCAGCGCCGGCTCGGGCAGCGGCGGCGGCTCCTACGGCAGCCTCGACGGCGCGAGCGGCGGCGCCGGCAGCGGCGGCAGCGGAAGCGCCTCCGGGGCCGGGGGCGCCTCGCACTCCACGGCACCCGGCGCCCAGTCCCCGTCCAGCAGCGCTTACGCCGCCGCCTACGCCGCGAGCTACAACTGCGCGCCGGGCTTCTCCTCCTCGTCGCAGAGCTTCTCCCCGCAACAGGTACGTCCGCACCTACGAGTGGCCTGCTCCTCCGTCAGCGCGACCGCGGCCGGCCGCGGGGCCCGCGTCAGCAGCCGGTGGGGAGAGGGGGGGGGGGGTGATTCCGGCTGTGACAGCGCCCTGCCGACGGCCAGCCCACCCCGCGATATATCCCGCCTGGCTTCCTACTTGGCGTCGTGCTGCGTTCAGCTTCGGTTCAGCCCGGGCAGACCACCGGCCCCCGTTGCGGTGACACGTTCGAGACCGCACCCGCACCGCAGTCTCTGTGCCACACCATGGTCGTCGCGGGGGACCTTCCCGACGAGCGCCGCCACTCACAGTCCTTGTTGCAGGGCCTGGACTACGCGTCCTACGGCAGTCCGTACGGCGCGGGGTCCGCCTCGCAGTACGCGGCCTCCTACTACCAGTCCTACTCCCCCTACGTCGGCAGCCCTTCCTCCGCTGTCTCGGGCCCACCCTACCAGCTCGCCGCCTCACTCAACGCACTGCCAGGTGAGTGGCTCTGCCCTGCCCATCATCATACCGACCCGACCGGAGCGAGACGTGCGCGTGCAAGTTTTAAAATCTTTTTGCATTTCAGATTCGCCCGGGAGCTTCGCACTTCCGGAAACGGGTCCGTCTTCCCCCGTCAAGACTGAGCCAAGCAATGGTACAAGCCGGAGAAGAGACAATTCTGGCTCCGAGGGTGAGTACACGACGTGTTCTCCCGTCACTCGCGGAGTGAGCCTCTATTCCGTCCATGACTCACCTATGCGCGTTTTGTGATACCACCAGGATCCCGCAGTTCCCGAGGCCGAGGGAGGAGGCACAATCCTTCGCCGCCGGCATCGGAGACCCAGCTAGAGCGAGTGTTCATCTGGGACCTCGACGAGACCATCATCATCTTCCACACGCTCATCACAGGGGACTATGGCGTGCAGTACGGCAAGGTAAGGAGCGCGCCCGACGCCTGAAGTCCTCGAGGGCCTGCAGAGGGATGACACACGCGGAACTTTAAAAACACGTCTCTTGTTGATATAGGACCTGCCCACCTTGAAGGAGCTGGGAGTACGCATGGAAGAAATGATCTTCAACTTAGCTGATATACACTTCTTTTTCAATGATCTCGAGGTGAGTGGATTGAAAGGCGACAGTGTGTCACACTCCCGTCACACCTAGAGTCGGCCTTGGAAAAAGCAGTTTGAAGACGTACTAAAATGCGACCATCATTTTCCAGTTTTGCGACCAAATCCATGTTGACGACGCCTCATCAGATGACAACGGGCAGGATCTCAACGGATACAACTTCAGCACCGATGGCTTCCAAGTGGACGCGAGTGGGGTGACCACGGCCGCGCTGGGCGGGGCTCCCCCCGGCACGCCCCTGGGGCCCGGAGGCCTCCCAATCGGCGGGGGCGTGCGTGGGGGGGTCGACTGGATGCGGAAGTTAGCCTTCCGGTACCGAAAGATCAAAGACGTGTACAACAACTACAGGAACGCCGTCGGAGGTATGTTTCAGTTGATCTTGATCTGCCGATCTGATCACGATGTGTCCGCTTTAGGCATTTTCATTTAATGCACCTATGTTCATCAGTAACACGTGTCATAAAATATGCAACAGGTCTCTTAGGGAATTCCAAAAGGGAACAATGGGTTCAACTGAGGACCGAGATAGAAGCAGTTACTGACAATTGGCTGTCACTAGCCATCAAATGTCTTAATTTGATAAATAGCAGGTATGTTCCAACCATAAAAATATTTGGTTTGTTAATTAAAATATTATGCTATTCTTTAAAAATTATTTCTTGCAGACCCAATTGTGTAAATGTGCTGGTAACAACAACACAGTTGGTCCCGGCACTTGCAAAAGTATTGCTTTATGGCCTAGGGGGTATGTTTCCAATTGAAAATATCTATTCAGCAACAAAAATTGGTGAGTTACTTGAGACATAAGAGAAATTATGTCAAGCCACACTTTTAAATATTAAGGAACTAAACACAAAATGATAAGTAATTCGCCCTTAACATCAGTGCGCTAAAGGTAATGCTCTTATTCGTTACAGGAAAGGAATGTTGTTTTGAGCGTATTGTGGCGCGCTTTGGTAGAAAATGCACATACGTTGTAGTTGGTGATGGAACTGATGAAGAAGATGCTGCCAAAAAGGTATGAGGATTTCCTTTATATTTGAGGACATTGAGACCAACCCAGGGATGTTTCATGACAAATTACTCAAAGATGAGTGGAAATAATTTTTGTTAATTTTATTTTCCAGATGAACTTTCCATTTTGGAGAATATCAAGTCACAGCGACACAATAGCCTTATTCAATGCTCTTGATATGGGATTTTTATGATGAGGATTTTTGTATTTAGTCATCTGTCACTTCACATAAAATGTGACTATTAACAATGTACCAACGATTTGAAAAATGTTGTGATAAGAAAAAACTTTGGTGATGAAGTTGGAGTTTTGAGAAGAAAGGTGAAAGTCAGTGAAATCTGTGCCATGGATAGAACTTTGTTATCCAATTGACATTCAGTTGCATTAGAAGAGCTGCACTGCACGAAAATTGCACTAATTTCTAATTGTGATACACTTTATTGCTGTGGTCAAACAGCAATGCCAAACAGTACCAAATGGCTGTTTTCTTAATGATGTCCCTTAAGACTCAGATAATTAAGTATATGGTATGTGTGTGTTATGTACAAATATAAATATATAAATGTAGAATAATGTGTAAATATTGAAAATCAAAAAATTTATGTTGATATAACCACCCAAGTGATACACACATAAATACAAGCTCTGTCAATGTGAACTGCGAAATCATAACATTTTTGTCAGTAATATCTACATTATTGGAATAGTCTAGTTAGAAGGTTGTAACACTGTTTAAATAATGTAATTAATGGCTTAACCCCATACATTGGTTTAGATTTTAAAAATCTTCTTCCTTGTTTGAGGGTTTTTAAAACATAACATTGGGATAAAACATGCACCTT